AAATATCATCACAATTTACCTCAAAATATATTAATTTATACCTTAAACTTTTAATTTCATCTTGCATCATCAAATTTAGATGAGTGTTGACATATTTGCATTAAATTCAAGTAAGTTAGGAAAATTTTTACTTTCTAATGGTTCTTTAAAAGAAATATTCTCATGTGTGTTTCAAATGAGTTATAAAACATATTTCTGGTATGAAATTAATATGATTTTAAAGGAAAAACAACATTAGAGTTGATTTTTCTGATGGAAATCTGTAAATTTCGCAGAGTTATTTAATGGTCGATTTTGTTTTTTCATCAAACTTGATTAAATCCAGAAAGATCACAGTAAAAATTGATAAATGAATAACAATCTTTTTTTGATATAAGTTAAAAAAGATAATCGAAATAATGAGATTTTATAAATCTACCATTGTTGTGTGGTGGTTTATTCATCTTTAACAACAATATCGTATGCCAGGTAATTGACACACTTCTTAAGAAGTCATGAGCTCGAATCTTCCAACTCCCACTTTTTGTACTAACAAAAGAAAAACATCGTGAATTAGAAGCTATAAGATATATTTCATATCAAATTTTGAAAATATTTTTATATATTAATAAAAAGTATTAGCGATTAAATTTTATGGCTGTTATGAAATGTATTTGATATGGGTATAGTCTAAACTTCATATCTTATAAAGCTATGATGATATTCCACTAGCTTTTTGATATGTGCTATAAAATGTCTATGATAAGATTTATGTAAACTTCTGAAAAACATATTTTATAGCAACATATAGAATTATGCTACAATGTAGTAGCACTAAGAAAACGCGGTAGAAAGTCGAGCACTTTCCTATAACAATAATTGACATGTGAGATGACGTTTGTTAAAAACTCTACCATAAAAATATTATGATACAAATTTTCTTTTCATTTTTGAAAATATTTAGTTCTCGACTGATGAGGACTTATCTGATGTTTTACGTTCACCAAGCTCAAATAATTGACAACTATAAAATAGAAATGCAAAAGTAGAAAATTCTTTTTAGAGAATAATGAACCATCAATTTTTAAATGGTAGTATGCACGGAGATGAGCTCTCACCTGTCGGAACCTAAATATTTTCCATTTATTTTTAGCTGCGGGGAAAGGTAGTTTCAATGAAATCTTATACCACATGCAATGCATGTGTGGAGAGGGAGAGGGAGAGAGATGGCAATCTCATTGAAGAGTGATGTGGAGTTGGGCAATTTCCAGGCAATTTCTGAAGTTAGGCAATTTCAATGTTATTTCATGGAGTTCTTTGGCTATTAGAGGCAATTTTTCTGATATTCTCTCAAGATTCACTTAAATTTGACGGCGTTAAAGGAGAGTTATTCGATTTTTAAAACTTTGTTATTCTAACTTTCAGTGATATCGTCTATTGCACAAATTGCTTGTCGTTTCTCTCACTCATTTCTTTTAATCATAGTAAAAAGTGATAGAGAAGGACGATATTTGGGATTAGCAACATAGTTTTAATTTGATCTCAACAATTCCAAAATGGATAGAGCAATAGAATTATATCCTTAATTAAATTGAAGATTTTGATTTTGAGAGTAGAAGGAAAAAAAAGAGGCAAACAGACAAAATATGTATATATCTATTTTTTGAAGATTTTAATTTTGCGAGTAGGGAAAAAAAGAACCAACTATGTATGAAAAAATTAAACAAAAAAATTTGATTTTAAGAGTAGAAAAAAATAGTGAATGAAAAACATAAACAGTTAACAAAGAAAATTTTGATTTTGAGAGCAGAGAAAAAAGAATAAAAAACAAGGAACCAAAAAAATTAAACTAAAATTTTTTATTAAAAAAATATAAACCGAAGATTTTAATTTTGAGAGTAGAGAAAAATGGACAAATAGCTAACCAAAAAGACAGAAGATTTTAATTTTGAGAGGAGAGAAAAAAAGAAAAAAAAATAGTGAACAAAAAAGAAAAAACAAAAACGTAAAATTTTGGTTTTGAGAGCAGAGAGAAAAAAGAAATAAAATCAGTGAATAAAAAAAGTGATGAGTTGGGAAAAAAATTAAACTCAATATTTTAATTTTTAGATCAAAGAAAAAAAAACCGAGAGGAAAATTATTAAGAACATGAACGAGATCGAGGAAGAGGAGGGAAACCTAACTTCACATAGGTAACATCAAAAAAAAAAAAAAAAAAGATTAGAATAACAAATTAGAGAAAAAAAAAGAGCCACAAATATTTACTATTGAGGTCATAAGGCAATTTCCATAAACCTTCTACTATTTGAAATGTGTGGAAAATGAAAATTAATTGATTGTTGTAATTAGAATGGACCCATCCCATAGAACTTGTGCCATTTGAAATTTGTGGATTAGGATCATATAACCAATTTCAAAAAAAACATGAGATCATAATATTTATTATCGATAAGTAATATTTTCGTTTCTTATTTTTTGTTTCTTGTTTTCAGTTTTTAGAAATAATATCAATAATATTTTCGTTTCTTGTTTCTTATTTATTGTTTTCGGTTTTTAGAAATAATAAGATTCGGTAACTATTTATTTTTCTGGTTTATTAGTTCTTTTATTTCAATTTTCCGGTTTTTTTTCTTTTTTCCAAAACACAAATAAATACGAAATAGAAACATCACTTATTTTATTTAAAATATAGTTAAAGCTATAGGATATTTATTCAAAATGAATACTGTTTTAGACCTACCTCAAATAATTTATGTTTAGCTCCCTAAGATTATATTTTTGCAGTTATTTGATTTTGATTTTTTGATAGGGCTTCGATTTTTAATATATTATAAACATTGTAACCTATAAAGAGGCGTAATTAAAATACATGGGACCCATTTAAAATTTTGGAGGAAAAATTAAAAACTTTCTTCTAGTATAATTTATTGTCTAAACATGTACCGACTCACCAAACATCGTGTTAGGTAAATTTATCATCGACCATTTACCAACTAAAAATGGTAGAATTGAACAGGTTAAAATATAAGAGATCGAAACTGAAACTCAATACGAGAAGATTAAACTGTTTCGACCCCTCCTAATCTGAAGTTTATTTTATACTTTTTCAAACGTTGTGACGCGGCTTTTTAAATAACAGATATTAAATAAACAATTAGAGACTAAAACTTAACCTAAAAATATAACTTAATCATTGGTATTGCTAAACATATATTCTTGGAAAGATTGTAGGTTCGTTTTCCCACTCAACTCATAGAGGAAAAAAAAAACTTATTATTAGAAAACGTTGTTGGAGGCTTAGCCTTGTCTTAAAACTAAAACAAAAAGTCCTGTGATTGATAGTGGTTTTTTTTTTTCATTAAAAAAACATTACATATGATAACATTTTGTGTAGTTAAAAAAAAAAAATACAGGTTAAAGCACAATTTTAGTGAAAAATTCAGATTTCACAAATTAGAGGGAGCTCTTCTTAAAAATCCCTCAAATCATTTTTCAAGTAAGAGTTATTATTTGTTAGATTTGACATACTCCATCAACGACATAAAGACGGCTATTTAATCTAAGAATATGTATAACTTATCCATTAAAATGAGTGGTGACATCTTTGTTTATAAGACATATTATATATTAGTAGAATGTTATTCTTCTCCATTTAAACCAAAGGAAGAGAAAAAGATATATATATTTCAACCTGAGTTTAACTCAATTGTGGTTAAAGTACTTATATCTGATTAAATGATCGTGAATTCAAATCTTCACTGGATATTCCCATATGTTGTATCAACATTTATGAGACTCTGATACTAAATTAATATTCATAGGGTTCCACCTAGAAATCAATTGATAATTAGATGAAGCTCACTTATATTTCAAACCCTTGTTAGGGCTACAACGTGAGATCTTTAACATGTTCCTCAAGAAATGCCTCTTTTGGGTTTACCAATCTTGGGCTGGATCTCATTTTTGAACTCGATGCTCGTATAAGTTTTTGGGTTTTGATACCATATTAATATTATCATGGGTTTCATCTCAAACCAATTGGCTAAAAGAGGAGTAGCCAACTTATATTAGCATGTCATCTCAAGATGGTGGCTCTTTTGGATCATCGATCTTAGTTGAATCTCATTTTTTTGGACGTATCCTCGTTTGAGCTTTTAGGCTCTGATACCATATTAATATTTATATGGTTCAATTTCAAAATTAATTGGCAACGAAATGAGTAGTTCATGTCTATTTTAAACTTTTGTAAAGGTCTATTTCTTTTCAAAGTGAGATTCATTAATGATTTAGTGTTTAGAATCTCTTGTGAATCCCAATTGCTTAGGGCCCAAAGTTGAGGGTAATTGAAGAGGAATTTTGGATATACTTGAAAAAAAAACGGCTTTTTTTTTTTAGATAGATGCCTTAACTAGTTCAGCTATACGTATGTTATTCTATGTGGATGTATTTTTACAACTTCTTTTTTATTATGCAACATATGAAATGGAGTTTGAAAACTTTTTAGTCAGAGATAGATATCCAAACCAGTTGAGCTACGTGGCATATTTACAACCTCATTTGTCAAACCATCACATTCACATTATATATTATAACAAGTTCTACTATTATTGTCTTTAAATGTATGAACAGTCTTTGTTTTCTCGTCATTTTCTTTAGCAATCCTTCTTCAATTTTCTTTGACTTCCAACATTTTTCTTTCCGTATCAACAAAATTTCTCCATTTTTTGTCATCTAGAATATACTTTAACAATAACCCTTCTCCCTCAATAATAGTTTCTCAGGCAAAAGGACCACCAGCCCTGATTACTTGTAAAACAAAGCCTACGCCAGCCCTTTGTTTCCACCATTAATTATTATGTGATATTGATGCCAATAACTCATTAATTCTTTTTCTTCCTTTTTCAAACTTGGCTGAGAAATTGAGGCACAGATGGAAGCAACTCAGAAGCTTCGGATTTCTGTATGTTGTTCATATAAATAGGCCAGTTTTGGCTCTCAAAACCTCCACACAATATAATCAACTTGCTTTGGTTTTGTTATAGAAATTAAATATTTAAGCACAAACCAAAGTTTTTTTGAAATGGAGAAGCTCTCTCTTCAAATGTTGTTTATCTCATTCTTCTGTGCCATTCTTTTGGTTTCATGGCCTGCTATGTCTCAAGAAGTTGGTAGGAAACCATTGAATCCTTTTTCTCCCCCTTTTTTCCATGGCAAAATTTGTATTTGTGTTCGATTCTTTCGTTCAGGTCGTATTTAATAACGTTCTTTTCATTTACACTTTAAGTGCTTTTAAGATAAGTACACTTAATTAGTACTTAGGACATGTTTAAGATTAAGAGTGATTTTAGCACGGTCAAAATCACTTTTTTCATTGTCAAAATCACTCTACTTTTGTATCGATCATGTTTGTCAAATTAAAAAATTGCTTTTAAGAAAGCTTAAAATCAATTTTTAAGGTATCACTTGAACGGCGATTTTGGAAAATCAATTATACTTAAATCTTTTTTTTTTTTTTCAAAATCACTCATTTATCATAGCTTCCAAACACATCTGACAATAATTTTGGGCTTTCCATTGCCAAAATTATCACTTCTCTTTTTAATGGATTATGTTTGACAAATTAAAAATTTATTTTAAAAAAATTTAAAATCACTTTAAATTGGTTTTTAAGGTATTATTCCCAAACACACTCTTACTTGTTTTGTTACGTATTCGATGCAGAGGATCAGAGAGAGTTCGATTATAACGCGTTGGGAATTAGAGGACCTTCCCATTGGGGAAATCTTAGACCAGAATGGCATACCTGCAAGGCTGGAGCGATGCAATCTCCTATTGATTTATTGCATCAGAGAGTCCAAATTGTGCCCCATTTTACTGACCTCACAATCAACTATAGGCCTTCTAATGCAACTCTCAGGAATAGAGGCCATGATATAATGGTAATTAGTTAACCATAATAATGTTAGTCTATGTTTTTAAGTATCCTTTTTTGGATATAAAACGATTTTTGTTTTTGGAGAAATTTAAGGTTTAATTTAATGTACTATGTTTTTTGATGTTGTTGCAGTTGAAATGGGGTGATGGAGCTGGATACATAAGATTGAATGGAACTCAATATTTTCTCAGACAGTGTCATTGGCACTCACCCTCTGAGCACACTATCAATGGCAGAAGGTTTGCTTTAGAAGCTCACTTGGTGCACCAGAGCCAAACTGGAGGCATTGCTGTTATTGGAATTCTCTATAACATTGGACAAGCTGACGATTTCTTAACTAGAGTAAGTTTTCCAAAACCTCAAGCATTAGGCGTTAAAAATTACTAGTCTCGAGAGATGGCGTAGGGGCCAGCGTTTAGTGCCTTGTGGTGCCACCTATCTTAAAGTCTCAAGTTCGAACCTTGCACTGGTCATAGTCTTGTTCTTGATTAGATTAGAAATTCTAGTTACAGAGATCAACTAGCATAAGCCACACGATATTGATTTCTAGAAATAGAAAAAGAAAAGAAAAATTACTAATATCTTAACTATGTTTAGATGGACAAACAGTGAGTTTATATAAATCAAATAAGAGATATTTTACCCAACACTAATGTTTTTTAAATACATAAGATGCTTGAAATATTTTAGAGAACTAGAAAAATGTTTCTCTTTTCTTTCAAAAAGTAAAAACCACTTACCCATCTAAATTTTTTCATACAAGTTTAATATTTAAAAATTAGACTGACCAAACATAAAATCTAGTTAGTCCTTCGAGGATGGCATACAGCAAAGACCTTGAACTTTATGGTATCACCTATCATGAAGTTTTAAGTTCAAGCTCTGCACTAGTCACAGTATTGCTTCAACCCAGATAACGAGCGTCCGTTACAAAAACATAAAATCTAATTAATAAGCTCCCTCTATTTTGTTGTCAGATAAGAAGTCATTTGGAAGGAATTTCAACTTCAAGGACAGATAGAGTATTGAATGTGACCAATCCATCTCAGTTAAATATGCAAAGCAGTCTATATTATAGATATATTGGCTCTCTAACAGTTCCTCCATGCTCCCAAAATGTTATTTGGACTGTGGCAAGAAAGGTATTTTTTAGTTCAACCTCTATATATAAATTATAATCCATATGTTTCTTAAAATACTTTGTGTTTATATCAAACTTTTTCATTTTTCAGATCAGGACTGTTACACCCCAACAAGTGCACTTGCTTCGTACCGCGGTTCACGATGTAAGTGAAATAGTTTTCTAAGAACCATTCGATAACGATCGACTTTCATATTATGCTTGCTATTTACATTTTTTTATTATCTACTTTCAAAATTTTTTAAAAAAATATTTATAGTTAGTTGTAGGAATTGAAAAATTTTGACTTTTTCATGTTTGGAAATTTTGAAGCTTATATTAGTTGGTTCATAAAAGTTTTATACTCTAGTTTTGAAAGACATAAACTTATCACTTGTTCAAGTTTTAGATTCTATTTGATAAAATTGAAGATTGAAAATTAAAATTGACAAATGGGCTAAGGGTAAAGGTAAAGAAAAATCTAATGCTTTGGACAGGAAAGCCACTCGCCCAAATTTTCCTATTACTCCTTATTCATAATTGTTAACCTATTAAACAAGTTAACTTGTTTTTGTAGTTCAACATTGGAGCGATGAAGATTGGAAAATGTAACCTTTAAAATAGATAATGTATAATATGTCTTAACCAACTGAACAATGTTAATGTGATTAATAATTTTTATTTTTTAAAATATAATACAGAATGTCTAGAATGTATATCAATTAACTCGATAACATGATCGTTATAATTCTCTTGATCATTTAATAAAAAAAAAAAAACCATCTCTTTGTCATGGGATTTCTAAAGACTTGGGTAAAATGAATTAGGTCAATCGTATACTTTCTTATAAACTCTCATATTTCTTTTACTAATTGGTTAGACATCATAATCTCCTTATGGAAAAATAATAATTCATTTTACTTAAGATATATGGTGTAGTTAAAATTGGTTTTTATATGCAGGACTCAAACACTAATGCGAGGCCTTTGCAACCTCTCAACGATAGAAGTATTCAACTTCGTGTCAAATCAGACGTGGATTGAAGGGTAGACGATTAATGTCACAAACACATACAAAGGAGAAATATCGAAAGATTCCTTTGCGTTGAAAGCTCTTTAGCCTCCCATAATGAGTGTTAGTAATGTGCAGGAATAATAAGACTAGTCCTAGTCGCCATGTCCTTCGATTTTTCTTTCCTAGCATCGGTATTATACATGTCTTTATTTTATGTTTGTCACACCTGTTATGAAATATTTATTTATTTTCCATAATAAAAGCATTATTGTGTTGTATTAGATAATATTTCTATTCTTTTTCTTGGTATCGTTGTATTAAATAATATTGGATGTTAATAAATTGTGTTGATTATCATATGAATGGTTATGGGGTACACTAGTTTGGTGTTTAAATTTAATTGCTTACGAATTATTATTGGCTAAATGTACCAAATTACGATCCCAATCTTTGAAGTAACTTTCGGTTTGATCCTTAATTTTTTTTAAAAAAATCTCAAATTTACATTTAATGTACAAAAAAATTATTTGGTAGAATGATTGGAATTGAGTATATATTGGTCGAGCTAAAAGGGTCGGCCACTAAATAACTCCAAGACGATGATGAAAGGTCACGTGAGACAACTTTCGTACGCCTCGAAGTGTTGTAGGGTCATATTTTTCCCTCCCACACATTGCATTACCAAATGGTTTTTTTCCAAATTTTAACCGATGTAAAATTAATTTGCATCTCTAACATCAATATTTGGAGCTAAGTTGTGATAAATTTTACTTAAAAATATAATTTTTTTCCAAATTGTATGTTTTTTTCTTTTAATCTTTTCAATTGTCATTTCCTAATCTTTAAACATTTTCACTTTTATTTTTCATACATTGAATTTGTTTTAAAACATTAAGGTTGGTTTCATAACCATTATAGTTTTCTATTTCTTGTTTTTTAAAAATAATTTTAAAATTAATTAAAAAAAATTGTTTTCAAAAACAAAATTTTGCTTTTCAGAACCTACATTTTTTTCCTTCTAATGATGAATTTTTTCTCTCTTTGACATCTCTATTTGACAAATTTCTTTTCCTCTAACATTTTTCCTCTTTAAAAAGATTCTCTCTCTCTAAAATCTTCATTGCTAGAACATAACTTTTTTATTTCTCTCCCTCAAAATTTTTATCTCAATATACTTTATTTTTCTTTCTTCTCTCTTCCAACCTATTTCTAAAATTTTATTCATTTATCTTTTTTTTTTTCAGAATCAATGTCGTGTGGCTTACTTTGTGATTCTTATAATCTGAGCTTGTTGTCTAGGTTGAGCAACACTATGACCAGCACAATGCTTGAATCCAAGTTCTCGATCTCATGGTAGGTGACACCACAAGGACTAAGGCCTTTGCGACTATGTGATCCCCAGACATCTCTAAAAATTTATTATTTTTCCAAACTTTTTCTCTCTTTAAATTTTCTCTCCCTAGACAACATGAGCTTAGTTAACCAATAATTAACCTGAATCCTCCCACCTTCATTTATTGTACTGATAAAAAAAAAAAAAACTCTTCTTTCTCCTAAATTTCTCTCTCTATCATTTTTCTTATTTTCCTAACATATTTTTTGCACTCAATTTTACCCTCTTTCAAATTTATATTTTTATCTCCTTGTTTTCTCTCTAAATTTTTTTTTTCATCTAAATTTTTTCACTCTAACATTTCTTTACTTTTTTGAACTAATATTCTCTCTTGACAGCGTCTCTCATCCCTAAATTTTCTCTATCTCTATATTTTCTTTAATCTCTATAAAATCTCTCTAAAAAGTTTTTTTCCATCTCTAAGCTTTCCCATGCCTCGACATTAGGGATTACAAAATTTCCCATGGAGTTGGGTCCCCGCTCCAAACAAGTGAGGAATCCTCACTTTAGATGGGGATGGGGAACTTTTCCCCCAACATTTCCCCCAATTTTTTTGGAATAGGGATGCGAAATGCCTTCCTTGTCGTGGCCTTGTCCTCAATACCGTTTCTTTAAATAATATATATATATATATATATATATATATATATATTCGTGATTGTCCGATCAGTTTACGCACGCCTCGACTAATTTCACGAGACAATCATCTGACCTTACTACATTTAGTTGTCCAGAAAACACGTAGGATAAAGTTAAATTCTAGGTAGGTGACTACCATGGGGTTTGAACCCATTACCTATATATTTTACAAAATTATGAATAAACTATAATTATTTTTAAAATAAATTATTTAAACGTAATTTACCTGAAAATTTGGTCCTTCTATTACTAATTTATTAATATTGTAAAACATTTTAATTAAAAATAATTACTAAACTGGTAATTTTCTCTACGAGGATCCCTATGCCCAGACCAGGATTTTCTTGACCCCAACCCTTTGTCGAATCGGGGAATGGATAGGGGACATGGACTAAAAACCTCATGAAGTGCCGACCCCCTTGCCAATATCTACTCTGTTTAGAATATCTGTCTATCTAATTAAAAAAAAATAACCAAAAACAATAATCATGTTTCATTTTCTATTTTCTAAAAAAATAAAAATAGAAAAAAATGTTATCAACCATGTATGTCTTTTTGTTTAAAAAAAAAAATACAAAGATAGAAATGATTATTTTCACGATGCTATTAGTTATAGTAATCCATAAGGCTCCCTCTGTTTTCACCATGATTTTACCTTAATAAATAATTTTTTAATGTTAATAGACTGACCTATGTCTTTCTTAATACGACGTTTATGTGACATAACGTGAATGAAATGAGTATCCATACTTCCATAGTGCCAGTAATTTTTTTATAATTAATGGGATCATTTCTCACAGCAAAAGAGGAAAAAAGAAACCCGATTTTGATGATATACAGGCATGAAAAACCTGATATGTATCCTTTCAATGGGTTTTCTTTTCTCATTCCTACAATTCCTAGATATGAGATGAGCTTACCTAATTAGCCTGACTTAGGTTGTTATAGGCTAGCATGCTTGATTATTCAGTTACCATGCATCAAAATGAGCTCTCAAAAAGAAATAAATGACATGTCACATGTGAATTTAAATATTTGCCAACATAACTAATTAAATAAATAAAAGATATGTCACATTAAATTTCAATTAAATGGTTTGAGAAAAATTGAAAGTAAAAAGTAAAGATAGTATTCTTCGGCAAAAGTTCAGAAATTAAAATAAAAAGTTTGAGAGTTAAAAATGAAAATGAGATCTAAATTAACTTTGTTTGTTTGTTTGTGTTTTCCTTTTTCTTTTTTAATTTTTAAGGGGCTTTTTAAGTAAATGACGTGAAATTGGAAGGAAAATTGAAATATAACTCAACTTTTCAACATAAGCTTTTTTTCCCCATTTTGGCCTGACGTTAGAAAACTTTGCGCTATGATTTTCTTGTATCTTAATATCAACATCAAATCAAACAAAATTTTCCTTTATTTTTTCTAATAAAACAATATGTGGTCGGAATTCGAATCCACGCCCTTTTTATTGGGATCATAGTATTAAATATCTCGACATGTTGATATGTCTATCGATAAGTTCATATATCTATTGATATGTTCATCAATATGTTCGTGTATCTACATGATATTGATGTGACATTTGTTCATAGATTGGTACTAATAATTGGTGCTGTCTGTGAGAACGAGTTGACAGCTAATTGACTTTACCCTCAAACTAACAACTGTAAATGGTGGAGCTCGGCTCTTACGGACAAAGCTCCCAAGACCATTGTAGGGTTAACGTGCCTGCAGGAGACCCTAAGAACCAAGATCCAGCTCCCTCTGGCACCAACACGCTGCAGACCCAACCAGCTTGGGCCGCTGCCTAAAACTACCTAGCATGCAAGAAACCAGCACGTGTAGCTCCAGCAAAGGACCTTCATCTGCTAGGAAGCCAACAACCAGGTCATTATCCTCTAGGCGGCGGTGAAAGGACTCTGGAAAAAATTCGGAGGCTGAAGGAAGGCGGGTAGGATGACGCGTTGGCCAAAGGCGTCGACAAAACAGAGGATCCTTCTCTGTGCCGCGACCCTAAGAAAGGGAAGCAACCTCTCCAAGATGCTCTTGCAGGGGAAAACAGGAATCGGCCCCGAAACGTCCAGAGAAAGGCTCAACCTCGGTGTGTGCTGCTCTTTGAATACCCCAAAGCTGCCAAAGCCCCACTTTTGACTTCTCTTGGGTCGACTACCAGAGTGGGAGTGTCTGAAAAGCCAAACTAGACAATTTCAAAGACCAAGGCAAGCTAAGGGGCGAAATGACTGGAATCTTGAGCAGTGTAGAGATAGACCTTCTCACCGGGAAAATCGACTCACCTTGATTAAGATTTTTCATCTCCATAAATATAGAGGTATTGGAGAGGTTGAGAGGGTGTGTGGCAGACACAAAAGGCGGCATGTTGCACCAAGAGATCGTTGACATTCTCCTACCCTAACCTGCTCGTTGGCTTTCTCTTGTAAAATCACCCAGTTGCGCTCGGCTGCTCAAATTCGTGCGCTCGGGAATGGGCCTTTGCCTAATTTTTGTTGACTTGATCCACGTGGCTCGATTGCATCTTGGACGTGTGCCGCCTTAGGTTTACCCGATAATAAGGTATACTACTAGTAATTGTCATATATTTCGATTCAAAACAATGTTGGTAAACACAACATCAATGATTCTTGATTTTGGTTCTAAAAAATTTATAGTAAGCCACATTAAATAAATAACATTTTCATTCCAACTGATTTTGATTTTGATTCCTTCTCACAACATTTCCTTATTAAATTTTAGGTTACAATACTATTTTGGTCATGGTATTTTCAACCTTGGTTCATTTTAGTTTCGGTAATTTGAAAATATTCATTCTGATTCTTATACTTTTAACTTTGATTTATTTTAATTCYTAGACTTTGAAAATGTGTTAATTTTGGTCTGTGTACTTTTAAAAAGTGATCATTTTAGTCTCACTTTTCAAAATTTTAACACAAATTTAACACAAACGGAAATTCTTTAACATAAAGTAATGTTTACATTTAAAAAAATATATCGATTATAGTATCGTGTTGAAATTGTGATAAAAAAATTAAGATTAAGAATAAAATTAAATAATCAAAATGGTCACATTTTTTAAAAAGAGAGGAACCAACCTACATTTCATTTCTAGTGGAAGTACAGGGACATAAATTCTCAAAACATACCATGCTTTTATTGATTAGATACATATAATTCAAAAATAGAACATCAAGGGGAGAATTATCGATAAACAATAAGGAATACAATATTAAAAGTTGGGGTTGAGAAAAAGGATGAACTCCATAATAATAATAATAATATAAACTTAGATCTCTCTTTTTTTTTTTGGGTCAATCTTCATTTTCCTTGGGTCTTTGAAGTTGCGTTTTTCTATTGTAGATCGGCTGCAATGGCCTAGCATTAGTATCTGAGTCCTGCATTCACATATCAAACTTTTGATTCCAACAAGTATATAATATGCAAAATCAACATTGATGACTGGTTTTATTTATTTATTTATTTATTATTTTTATTTTTATTTTTTTAGTTCTATGATGATGCTAATTTTAATTTTATCTTTAAAAACTAAAATTATTTGTTCAATTTTTTCTTGGATTGTAACCTAATTTCTTTCAAATGTTTTTAAAATTCTTAACCAGACTTCGAAAACGGAAGAGGTAGATTTTAAAACTTTGTTATTGTTTTTGAAATTTTTGTCAAGAATCAACATAATAACATTGAAAAACAAAATACAAAGTACGACTTAAAAGAATTATATTTAAATTTGAAATTATTATCAAATAAAACCTTTACTTAATCAGTTATCATATGATCAATTATACTTAATATGGGTATTTTCATTTTTAATTTATAAAATAAAAGAAATAAAAATAGTATATATTTATGTCTACTCAAGCAGTTATTTTAACTTACATCATGAACAGCTACGCGAAGTTGTTTCACTTGTTCTTCTGTTACCGTCCTCACCTGGTGAAGTTCAAATATATAGGTAAGAAAATTATATATATATATAGATAGATATATATCACAAAAATTTGAAAACATTTTTTTAGTTCAACGATACATACATTTGATATTTGAATTATGTTTCAGTTGACTTATATATAAAAAAAAGAATATATAAAGGTGAAAGTAATGTTGATTTAATTTTTAGAAATAGTTTCCAATTTTTCCACAAGATTTCTAATAAAATAATTAAAAAAAGATTTCAAATCATTTTATCGGTATAAGTGTTGAGCAATTAGGCTTAAGAAAATTTAGAATTTGTTTGGTAGTTTCATTGTTTACTTTATCTCATTTTGAGAAATTAAGGGTCCGTTTGGTAACCTTCCCGTTTCTTGTTTCTCGTTTTCAATTCTCTTAAGAAATTTAAGTATTTTACAACTAACTTTGTTTCTTGTTTCTCTTATTTTTTCCATTTCCAATTTACTCTAAAATATAAATAAAAGCATTGGTTCGAAACCATGCAACACATTTTGTTTCATTAAAAATAAAGAAACAAGAAACAGGAATGTTACCAAACGAACCTAAGCTTACACACAAATTTATTTTTATTTTCATCTAATAAAAGCATTTTGAAACCCTTAGTCAAACTAGAAAACTTAAGACATGTCTTGATTAATTTTTTAGTTTCTAAAAGTTTGACTAAGTTTTGAAAATGTTTTAAAAATTTAAAACCAAAAATTTCAATTCAAGGTGCTGGATGTATGTCCTGCAAAAATAAATATTTTTTTGACATAGAAAACTTATTTGGCATTTTGAACAAAGCACAACCAAAATAAAAATAAAAAACTATATCTTTTTATTTTCATGTATTTTGCTTTTTGTAATTTAGTTTAATTTCATGCTCATATATAACATTAATTACTTTTTATGTATAATTTGATTCAAATGTATTATCATTTTAAATCACTTCCAAGCTAATTTATTAACTAATAGGGGTCACGGCCAGGCCTAAAAGAAAGATCAATTCTTTGGAATCCTTCACGAGCGATTCATGAATGTTATCGGGTTGAACGAGCTAAGGTAATTACTAAGCTACTATCGAGTTGAACGAGAGAAGGTAATTACTAAGCTAATTGGGTGCTATTCTACCGAGATCAACACTCGATTCCCCTCGACTTTGCGTCATCAAGTTGATAAAAAAAATATAATAAATGAAAACATAATAACAAAAGAAAATTTTCACAGTTTATTTTACATTAACATAATATAGCGGGATTAAAACGTAGAACCACTTAATTTATATCATATTAAACTATTTGTAAACTCAAAATTTACCTCACGTATCATTGTCCAAATAACATTTTCAGTGCATGGAGGAACCGTAAGAGATCCAATATATCTGTAATATTGTTTGCTGCCTATCTTTAGAAGAGTTGGATCAATTATTCCAATGATTCTCTCTTCTTCATGAGTATCAGAGATAACTTCTAAATGATCTTTCATCTAACAGAACAAATTAAAATTAATTAAAATCATGTGAATTGAATTGAAACCATTAGATCATTAACAGGTCATTATGAATTGAATTAAATTAAACTCACAGTTGATAAGAAATAATCAGGCTCCCCAATCTGATACAAGATTCCAATTACAGAAATGATGCCAGTTGAGCTTTCATGGACCAAATGAGCTTCAAGATCAAAGTTTTTGCCATCAATGGTGTGCTCAGAAGGTGAATGCCAATGACATTGTTTTAGTTTATATTGAKTTCCATTCATTTCCATGTATCCACCTCCATCTACCCATTTCATCTGCAAATCTCATCCACACAAAATTAAAATGTCTATATATATGGTAAATCCAATCATTCAAATAAATTTTCAATACTTTCCTGATATTAATTTGATTTATGTGATCCAAGTGACAGAGAAAAAGATTGACATTATTTTGGGTATTAATAATTGATTTAGGATGTCCCCAAGGGACGGTCACTTGTGTTCTAACCTTCGAATGAGTTTAATACCAAAAACTCTTGAAGTCTTCTGAGTTCGGACCTTGGGAAGGGCGCAAGTGTCACCGATTATAAGGTTAAAGCTAAAGAGCTAGATTTCAGGTCATAAAAAAATTAATAATAGTAATAATGATTTAAGATAGTTTGGAAAAAGATTAATTACCATAATATCATGGCCTCTATTCTTGATAGTGGCATTGGAGGGTATGTAGTTTGTTTCGAGGTCTCCCAAATGGGAAATAACTTCAACTCTCTGATGCAACAAATCGATTGGAGATTGCATAAATCCAGCCTTGCATTTCTGCCATTCTGGTCGAAGGTCTCCCCAATGAGATGGTCCTCTCTCCCCATCATCCTCGTAATCAAACTCTCTCTCATTTTCTGCATTTAATCAATCATAAACATATCATAAAATCATGATCATCCAACAGAAAAAAGGGCCAAATATAAATGCATGGTTTAGGGCTAAAAACTTCTAAAAATCAAAATTCTAAGAGAGGAAAATCGAAATGTTTTTCAAACTTCGCTTACAGATAAACTCTTTTCTCTTAGATGGCCTAATTTCTTATCTAAATTTCTATCAACTTACTATTGTATCGTCTTATCTCGACTCATCGTCAATCACGGTTCATATTCGCAGTTCGCTGATAGATAGACTAAATTAAAACTTTTAAATGATTGAAGACTAAATTTAAAACATATGCTCAAACATTACGGAATAAAATATATATTTAGGTTAAGAAAAACACCCTATGTGTAATTTGGATCTCTCACCAACTTCTTGGGATGCTGCCTTAAATGAAAGCAAAAGAATGCAAAAGAAGAAAGAGCACAAGAACTTCCCCATCTCTTAATTATCTGATGTCTCTCTATGGAATCAGCAATAAGATTTGGTTTGAGGAGGTTAAATTTTATGGTATTTATAACTACAAGTTATAATGTGAATGGAAGAAAATGAAGCTTCTGATTTTCTTCAACTACAGTATTTTCCAGCGAACAAGTTTGAAAATATTGGGAAGAAAAGATGAACTTTTCAACAGAGAAGAAAAAAAAGGGCATTAATTTATAATCATTGAGTATTAAAAGCAAAAAAGAAGTCCAAATTCAGGTGGTTTCCGTTTCAATATTGTTTCCATGTTCATTAAGTCCATCAAGAAAATTTTTTTGTATTATTAAACTAATAAGGGAGAGATTAGATTAATCTTTCTTAATATCTGGTGTTGAAAATAAAACCAAATTGCTTATCAAAAGAGAAAAAAAAATAAAGCTTGGGCTGCCGTTGGAGATGTTGAAACGTTTGGTTATGTACCCAACAAGAAATTGACCAAATCTTTGAATCAATTAATTTCGTCACATATATTTGTAGTTTATGTTGTCATTTAAAAAAAGAACTGAAAATTTATACTAAACATCGTAAAATAAATATGTATTTATAAAAATATTAAACTTAACTCTATATATATAAAATACATATTCTTTTTGTGCTATTTTTGTAATTTTTTTTTAAATTCTAGATTCTATTAAAAAAAAGGAAAAAAAAAAATCTCTAATCAATGACTTTTTTATTTTATTTTTTAAGGAGAGTAATCAATGACGTTTAGTTTGTATGTTACTATTTAGGGGCTAAATTATACTAAATGTCTATGTTCTATGTATGTAGGTTTCAATAATTTTCAAATTTATCCAATGTTTTAAATAATTTAATAAAAGTTCTTATAAAAGTTTTCTTAAAATGCTTAACTAAATAAATAGTTTAGTTAAACAATGGTAGGAGTGCGGATTGAATATAGATAAAAAATCGATAAAATATAAACAAAAAACAAAAAACAAAAACATTGAACTTAATATTAATATTTTAAAAATTATTTAGAAATGTTGAAAATGTTTATTTGTTCATTTAAATATTTGTATCTTTTTTAGTTTTAAAGTATTTTTAAAAATATTAACCTGTATCAATGGGTATTTTTATAATTTAGTTTTTGAAAAATAATACTAAAAAAACATTGTCAATTGAGAGAGAGAGAGCTGAGCTTTAACACGTGTGGGAAAGTCCTCAGAAAAATGTTTTTCATCTGAGAGAAGAGAGAACTTTTCTTTGGTGTTAAAAGTCGTAGGGAGATCCTCAAATGTTTTTACAGCTGATTTAAATTAATTATTGACTAAAATAGTGGGTAAGCCCGAAGCAGCCATATATGGAAGGAAAAAACCTTGACTTCCAAGGTTTTGATTTATGAAACAACAAAAGTTTCATGAAATAATTTTATTAATACGTCACATTGAGATGGACAATTTTTACAAATATTTGTGGATTTGTGTATGATAGTACTTTCGCCTAGGTTGATAACTATTTTTTTTTTTATGATTTTCTATTTTAAAAAATTAAGTCTAGAAACATTGGTTCTATCCATATGCTTCTTTGTTTGGTTATTTAATTTTTTAAACAAGTTTTTAAAATCTAAGTTAAATGATAAAAACTAAAAAAAAGAAAGAGTATTTTTTAAAAAAATTATTAAAGTTTAATTAAGAATTCAAATTTGAGAAATCAATAAATGGTTATCGAACGCGGTAGAAATAGTTGTTTCTGTTGACTTTTTGGCCTTAATCTCAAATTAATTAATTTTAATTAATTAATTAATTAATGTTTTGATGATAACAAACTTAATTTTATTTATTAACATTTTTTGTATTTTAAAGTATCCACAGTCTAGAGCTCGTTACAACGATTCCAACGACTGTTAGATCATCCAAATCGAAGCTCAAACGGAGAAGTTACGATCGAAACAAATTGGAAGGAAAAATACCCGAGAAGATGACGTGGACAGTTCGTAAGCTAATAAATGACAAGCTTCTTTTTAAAATATATATATATATATATATATATATATTTAAAAAGAAAAGAAAAAGATAAAAAAAAATTTGAAAAGTTTACCGTTTTCTCACACACACACATATATATATTATTATTATTATTATATATATATAATTAAAAAAAACTTGTTACATCAACTGTCACATATATATATATATATATATATATTTTATTTTATCATTATATATATATATATTATTCTTAATTTATTTTTTGAAAATTATCTCAACCTTTCATTCTTAATGATTAAGATCTAATGGTTTAAAATTAAACTGGATTTTTTTTTACCATTTTCTTCCCTCTATTTAAACTAAACTTCTCATTCAAAATTATACAACAATTCTCTTATTCTCAATCCTCCATAACTTCAAAATTTTCATTTTGCTAATCTCTCCAAGTTCTCAATTTTTCTTTCCATCTTATTTGTGAGAGAAATTTTATTGTTGGGAGGATTGAAAATTTTTGTGAGCTCAAATTTGTATATTTACTCTATTTGAGAGTTTGTAAGTGTGTGTTTCAAAATCTTCA